TCTCTACCCGCTCTGATGCACTCTCTGCGTCTCTTCTTTTTCTTGTCATAAGAGGGTCCCTTGTTACAATGGGTGTTTCTCTAAAGGGGAGGGGTTGAAAACAGCAAAAAACTGTAGAAACACCAGACATGATTTGATCGTGCAAATATGTATATCAGCAGCAGGTGGCCGATAAGGTGGAGCATCTTCAGGAACAGTGCCTCCCCTCCTTTCCGCCAACCTTGGGAGCTGTCCTCTTTCCCAGCAAAGAGCTGAATAAGTCATTGTTTTCGCGGTGTGCAGAGTGGGTGACGGGTCACTGCATAGTTATTAAGCACAAAACATTATTCACACAAAAACAATACATAGAAAATATGGGATAACATATACAATTATTCTAACAATATTACAGATCATTCTCAGGCTGTTACCTGTATTTATTCATCCAAATCCACCAGATTATAGGAAATGATATTTGATTTGCACAAGATCTTCTGAGGTGGTGACGCCCAGACCCTCGTGCTTGAAAGAGGTGCACTACATCAGACTTTCAAGAAAAAAAAAAAAAAAAATATATATATATATATATATATATATATATATATATATATATATATGAAAGGGCCTTTGCCCCAGCAAAGCTGCAGGTCTAGTGATGTCCCTGATCTGTACAATGAGTCATTAAAACAGTGGGAAGTGAAGTAAACAAACAAAACACAACAGATTCAAAATATATAAAGACCAGGCATTAAAAACATACACCTGGTCTAGAAGAAATAAGAGGCAGTAAGGCCATTTCAGGGTGACTCCACAGTTAAGGTGCAGATGTACAGCAGGTTGTAATATGTAACCAAGTGGCTTTTGTGAATATTTTGTCCCGTTATTTTATTTGCTACTTTATCATTTAATCAACTTCATTTACAACATCCAACTAAACATCTTTCACATAATGTGCACTCTTATAATCCAGTTTTTGCAGATTTAATTACACATGAGTGAAATGACACACCACACAGTCACTTTAAAAAAAATAAATGATTTCACTTAAATACATTTACTTTTGGAATGACTGATGTCACAGGTGCGACGAGGGTGACACAGGTGAGAAGAGGGTGACACAGGTGTGATGAAGGTGACACAGGTGAGAAGAGGGTGACACAGGTGTGATGAAGGTGACACAGGTGAGATGAGGGTGACACAGGGTGTGATGAGGGTGACACGGGTGTGATGAGGGTGACACGGGTGAGATGAGGGTGACACGGGTGTGATGAGGGTGACACGGGTGTGATGAGGGTGACACGGGTGTGATGAGGGTGACACGGGTGAGATGAGGGTGACACGGGTGTGATGAGGGTGACACGGGTGAGATGAGGGTGACACGGGTGAGAAGAGGGTGACACGGGTGTGATGAGGGTGACACAGGTGTGATGAGGGTGACACAGGGTGTGATGAGGGTGACACGGGTGTGATGAGGGTGACACGGGTGTGATGATGAGGGTGATGAGAGGTGACACGGGTGTGATGATGAGGGTGACACGGGTGTGATGAGGGTGACACAGGTGTGATGAGGGTGACACAGGTGTGATGAGGGTGACACGGGTGTGATGAGGGTGACACGGGTGTGATGAGGGTGACACAGGTGTGATGAGGGTGACACGGGTGTGATGAGGGTGACACGGGTGTGATGAGGATGACACGGGTGTGATGAGGGTGACACAGGTGTGATGAGGGTGACACAGGGTGTGATGAGGATGACACGGGTGTGATGAGGGTGACACGGGTGTGATGAGGGTGACACAGGTGTGATGAGGATGTACTTAGTCATCGCCACATGTTTGTAATGTTCTGATATCAGAGTTTGGCAAATGCAGTTTGGACAGTCTCTTGTGTAAAGGGGACAGTAGTTTTCCCTGTGCCGTTGGGCCTGTACACTGATGAGTCCGTGTTGGGGATTGTGGAGGAGCATAGGTGATACTTCTAACTCTGGGTGCATGTGGTTTGCAGGATAAATGAGGTTGAATAGAGCCCGTTTTCTCCTGTTTTAGTCATTGAATAATTCCTTTATGTAGTAATACTTCACCCTGCAGTCTCACTCTTGCATCACTACTTCCTGCCCAGTTTTATCTCTCTGTGGTTGTTGCAGAGTCGCGCTAAAGTACATCGATATGTAAAGATATGGCAGGAGCTGTGCTTGATGTCAATGATGTTAAAAAGTACACAAATAAAATGAAGACTTGTGTTTTTAGAAAGACAGATGTTTGTGTGTCACTTGTAACACTAATGCAAATTTTGAGGCATAATAAATATTAAAACAACATCACAAACTCAAATATTCTACACATACAGATCATTGTGTATGTATAGTTGTGCACACAGAATTTCTGGGGAAAAGTAAGAGTAACTAAATAAATATTGTTTTACACATTTTAAAGACAGTGAAATATATGCCACCTTTTTAAAGGGGGGATATTTCATTAAAAAAAAAGAAAAAGTTTTTGTATCTTTCTCCCATGTTATAATGCTGTTCATTCATCAGAAACCTGCCTGAAGAGGTTTTTGATTAATCTACCACCAACACACACCACACAATAATACATAAATATACAAAACTGTACACACTGTCAAATCTAACACTAGGTTCACTTTCATTCAGCTTGTTTATTTTACTCACAGGTATGGATTTGTGGATCTTAATGATTGTGGTAAAGTAACAGTTACTTTCAGGGTTAAAAAAAGCACTTTACTTGTCAGTTAGACTAAGATCAAGTTGAATGAGACGAGGAACTTCAACAGTGACGTGTTACTGCCAAGAGTCCAGCTCCATTTTCCAGTCTGTTCCGCTCCTCCTTTTGCTTCCTCCCTGTTTTTCCTACAGCCGCCGCTCATTCCCTGATCCTCCCAGGACGACTCTATATCCTCCCTCTGTTCATTCAGTCTGTGGTCAATTACACCTGTTCTCCTGTTTTGTTTCTTCAGTGTTTTTTGAGTTCTAAGTTCGGGTTAGGGTTAGAATGACTGAGCTTTATTATTTTATCATTACACATGTTACGTTGTGTTTGAACTGAAGCTGAACTAAAGTTTTGCTACATTTTTTCAAAGACTAATAAATATGAAATCCTTGTGTACGTGATGCAGATCTAAATGGCTTTATTGTAGAATAGAACCTGTTTTTAATCAAGATTCAAGGTTCTTTATTTGTCATTCAAGCATGCAAGAGAAACACATGACAGAACAAAATGTGCTCCTGATCAAGAGATAAAAAAGATAAAAAAATAAGCAATATTAAAACGTGCATCAAAAACAAAGCAGTTCCAACAGACAAATACAAATAAAACGTGTGGAAAGATAAAGAGGCAGCCTCAGCAGGAGTCAGTGTGCACTGTTCAACAGTCTGACAGCCTCAGGAAAAAAACTGGACTTCAGCCGAGATGTTCTGGCTCTGCTCCTCCTCAGTCTCCTCCCAGAGGGCAGAGGGACAAACAGGAGGTGGGAGGGGTGCGAGGGGTCGCCCATGATCCTGGAGGCCCGTCTCCTGCAGCGCTCCTCATAAATGTCACTGATGGGTGTAAAGTCACATCCAGTGATCTTCTCTGCTGCTCTGAGCACATGCTGTAGAACCTTCCGGTCCGGGGCTGAGCAGTGGCCGTACCACACTGTGATGGACTGGGTCAGCACACTCTCCACCCCACATCTATCTAACTTGTGTACAGAAGCCACATTTACTTGCTCAACTGAAGGCAATGGGTTTCCATGGTCGTACCAAGATGAATTTACTCTTAAAGTAAAGGTTGCTGCATATTTCAGATTTGAGGAACTGACTGATTTGTTGGCTCAACTTCACATCATGACTTCTACGAATGAAATCTAAAGTTCACTTCACTTACTGTGCCTAGAAAAGAGGAATTTACTGAACACTAAACAGAGGAATTACTTGTAAATTCAGCTTTAGATTCACACTCCAGTTATGTCAGATTTTTCAAGGCAAGTGGTTTCATACATTTTTTCAGATAAGGTTAAATTATAAGATTTTCCAGTGCACAACAACTTGACAAAGCTGATGTGATGTGCAGTAGTTTCATTAACAGGAAAGTGCTTTAAAGGGGGGGTGACTTAGCTGGAGAGAAAAGGGAGGGGAGGCTCAGAGCGTTAAGAACAAAACTTATAAAATTGAATACCCCACAGAAGTCAAATACCCCCTCTTTAATACCCCACAGAAGTCAAAATACCCCCTCTTTAATACCCACAGAAGTCAAATACCCCCTCTTTAATACCCCACAGAAGTCAAATACCCCCTCTTTAATACCCACAGAAGTCAAATACCCCCTCTTTAATACCCCACAGAAGTCAAATACCCCCTCTTTAATACCCCACAGAAGTCAAATACCCCCTCTTTAATACCCCACAGAAGTCAAATTGTTCCTTTTTAACCGCACTGACATCTCCAGAAGTCAGAAGTCCCATCATGGTCACATCGTTGGTCTCCATGGAAACATCATGAGATGTTTGAGCTTGTTCAGTTTGAAGCTCTGAACTTGCAGAAGCAATTCACATTGAAGAAAAAAAAAACAACAAAAAACTGCGGCCACTCTCTCTGTCACTGCTGCTCTCAAGCTCTTCATTTTGGTCTTCAAATATTGGTCTGATCCTCTCAACATGATCCTGGGGTTTTTATTTCACTGTTTAGTCCCTAAATCACCTTATGAACATTAATAACAGACCAATGAGGCACCTTCTTTCCCTCAGGTTGCTCCTTAACAGGTTTGATTGACAGCCAAACCACTGGTTCAAACAGGAAGGGGCGTTACTTTGAATAGCCTTGCTCCTGATTGGCTCTTTGGTTGCCATGATAACCTGGACCGGTGTGAGGCAGAATGCTAAATTCTGGTTCTGAGCAGTTTGAGAGTTTTATATTTGATGTCACATTTCCGTCTTTATGGGGAAAACCACAAAGGATCAACAGATAAGAACATGTTAAAAACAGAACTCTTAAAGACCAGACTCAGACCTGGTGCAGACCTCACTCAGTCCTGTTTCAGACCTGGTTCAGTTCTGGTGGAGTTCTGGTTCTTGGACATGTTCCTCAGGGTGCTGCTCCTGTCCCTCTGGTGTTGGGGTGAGTTCTGACTCAGACTTTATTTGATGTAAAAAAAATAAATAAATAAATACATTGGGTCTATATAAAAAACAAACAAACAAAAAGAAAAAACAATCTGCTATTTTGAAGTGGTTTTAATTTTAAAAGTAATTTCTTCTCTCAGTCTTAAGACAATTATTCATATAATTTAAATCAAATAATATTCAAATCTGACCTGGATCAGTAGTGTGTTATCACGTCAGTAAAGTTCTTTAAAAAGCACTTCACACGACAGTCTGTGATTTTGACCTAATAACTTTTGAAGACTGAGATAGTTGGAGATGAGATGTTTTATTTACAATGAAGAAGAAGATCATGTCACAGGTTTGGGCCTTATTGTTAAATGTGCAAATTTCTTATGGCCTGGAGAAATGTAAAACTACGGTTAAAAAGAGTAACAACAGAGAAAATGTCAGTTAACAAATGTTTTTATAATAACATAAAGTTACAATAATATTGTATATAATATGTGTGCATGTGTGTGTGCATGTGTGTGTGTGCGTGTGTGTTATTCATGATTGACCTCAGGATAATTGATGTTATAAGGCTGTTTTCTTGGTTTCATACCTGACAGTCTGCACTGTTCACTAGAGTTCATGTTACTGTGTCGTGTCTCAGTTGATTTAAACAGGTTTTGGAGCTGTTTTCCTTCTGGTGGAGGCAGGACGACAGCGCCATGGACAGTATCCCATTTAGATTCATCAGTTAATCACTGAAAATACATTCTTCACTTGTTTCACTTTGGCTCCAGTCGCCTCCATTCCAGAATCTGGAACATTGTGATGACAGGATTTGAAAGTGTCTGTTGTGACCTGAATAATCACAGTTATCAGTGAACCTAATAATGTCCCCAGAACAGAAAAACTGTGTGAGATTTGAGGATGTGGAATGATTTCCCATAAAGGAATCATTTCTCTACAGACACTTTCAGTGTAGCTCACTACAGTATGTCTTTATTTACTCTATATCCTCTAATGACTAGAATCAGTCGAGTAAAAATATATTTCAGACGTATTTATTCATAACAGCAGTGGTTCTCCCATGAGTCCGGCTCCTCTTGGTGGTGATTTGCCTCTGACGCTGGATCCTTTTACCAACTCCCTTCCTTTTCACCCAGTTCCATTCCAATCCTCTGTATATTTTCAGTTTCTAATATGACAACACAAAGAAGCAAGAGGGTTTTTTTTGTTTTTTGTTTTTTGCCTCTTTTCATGTTTATGTTTTAAATGTCCCCAGAAGCACAAAAAAAAAAAAAAGTATTTTATATGAAAACATGATGAAAAAGCTGTAATACATTTGTTCTTACATTTACGTGAGGAAACGACAAAGACAAAATGACCCACACTGTCATTTCGTCATTGTGTGTGAATGCACGTTTCTGTTTCTATGAGGACAAGAAAACCTGTGACATCACTGTGTGACTAAATAAATAAACACAGAAGTGAGTAAAATGTGTGTTTTCATCTGAGATAAAGTATGTGTAAAGCACAGAGCACACTGCACCAATGTCTCTTCCTGTCCCTGTGGTTTTAGGGCTCAAAACAGCAGCCATTTTGTGTCCAGCTCTGTGTCATGTGACCAACAGACGCCATTTTGTAACATGACATCTGTGTGCAGGGGTCCTGTGTGCATGGGTCCTGTGTGCAGAAAACAAGAGCTCAGCAGGTAAGAACCATTCAGCAACACACTCACACAGATCAGAAATCTAACCCACATCCTCCTCACTGAGAGGCGTGTGTGTGTGTGTGTGTGTGTGTGTGTGTGTGTGTGTGTGTGTGTGTGGAGTCTGTCCTAAAACCTGTCTCTGAGAGCAGGATCACCAGTGTGTTTCTTCTCTGCAGAGTCGTACAGTCTGAGGCTGGTGGGAGGAGCCAGTCGCTGTGAGGGGGAGGTGGAGCTTCAGAGACCAGATCTGAACTGGACTACAGTGGGTATAAGTTACATGACTCTTGGTTTTGGGGCCAGATTGTGCTCGGCGCTAGACTGTGGCACTGTTGTGTCTGTGGGGCTTAATTCCGGTCTAGAAAGAGAAGTTGTGATGGGTGATCGTTACTGTGAAGAAACATCTCTGATGCAGTGTTTTACAACTGGATTTCACTCAGACAGCAGTCTGCGACTCCAATGTTCAGGTGAGAACTAAGCTCCTATTGGTTCAGAGTGATGATGTCACACATGTGTGCGTCCTATTGGTTCAGAGTGATGATGTCACACATGTGTGTCCACAGACTCGGTGCGGTTGGTCTCGGGGTTCGGTCTGTGTTCAGGATCAGTGCAGATCTGGGACGGGTCCTGGACCGGGGTCTGTGACGGGGACTTGGACCAGCGGGGGGCAGAGGTGCTGTGCAGGGAGCTGGACTGTGGGGCTCCTTCTCTCCTCCAGGGGGCGCTCTCTCCTCTGGGGCAGACGTTCCACTGTGAGGGCCATGAGTCTGCTCTGAAGGACTGTCCCCGCTCCAACTCAAGGACCTGCTCCTCTGGAGCCACTGTCAACCTCACCTGCTCAGGTAAAGGGGCGGGGCTTCACTGCTCAGGTAAAGGGGCGGGGCTTCACTCTGTCTCTTGTCTGTTCAGAGCCGATCAGGTTGGTGGGAGGAGCCAGTCGCTGTGCTGGGACTGTGGAGCTGAAACTCAGAGGAGAGTGGAGACGGGTGACTGGGGACTATAGATCCTGGAACCAGGAGGACATAGCTGCTGTGTGCAGAGACCTGGACTGTGGCTTTGCTGTTTATGGAGGAGTGAGAGATGATTTCCCACAGAGTCCTGTGTGGTCGGTCTTTTCTGACTGTGTGAAGACATTTTCAGTGAGAGGATGTGTCTTTGGTTCCTACTCCTCCTCTTCCTGGGGTCTGGAGGTGATGTGTTCAGGTAAAAGTCTGATCTTACATTCTTATGTCTCTCTGATGTTTTTTTCTAGTTGCTCCAGAGGAATGTCAGGTGTAAAATGTGTGATGTCCAATCAGAGTTTAGATCATACAGATACACACATGCACACACGCACACACACACACACTGGGTGTGTGTGTGTGTGTGTGTGTGTGTGAGAGAGACAAAGACAGAGATGGAGAGAGAGAGTTGGTCTTGTGTTTGTGGTGTCCTGTTGTTTTTTTGTTTGTTTGTTTTTTGTTTTGTTTTTTCCCAAATGAAAATCATAACATTAGACACTACACACACACACACACACATATAGTTACAGTGATGATGTCACACATGTGTGCGTCCTATTGGTTCAGAGTGATGATGTCACATGTGTGTCCACAGACTCGGTGCGGTTGGTCTCGGGGTCCGGTCTGTGTTCAGGATCAGTGCAGATCTGGGACGGGTCCTGGACCGGGGTCTGTGACGGGGACTTGGACCAGCGGGGGGCAGAGGTGCTGTGCAGGGAGCTGGACTGTGGGGCTCCTTCTCTCCTCCAGGGGGCGCTCTCTCCTCTGGGGCAGATGTTCCACTGTGAGGGCCATGAGTCTGCTCTGATGGACTGTCCCCGCTCCAACTCAAGGACCTGCTCCTCTGGAGCCACTGTCAACCTCACCTGCTCAGGTAAAGGGGCGGGGCTTCACTGCTCAGGTAAAGGGGCGGGGCTTCACTCTGTCTCTTGTCTGTTCAGAGCCGATCAGGCTGGTGGGAGGAGCCAGTCGCTGTGCTGGGACTGTGGAGCTGAAACACAGAGGAGAGTGGAGACGGGTGATTGGGAAATATGAAGACTGGGACCAGGAGGACACAGCTGCTGTGTGCAGAGACCTGGACTGTGGCTTTGCTGTTCATGGACGAAGGAGAGGTGATTTCCCACAGAGTCCTGTGTGGCAGGTCTCATCTGACTGTGTGAAGACATCTTCAGTGAGAGGATGTGTCTTTGGTTCACGCTCCTCTTCCCGGGGTGTGAAGGTGGTGTGTTCAGGTAAAAGTCTGATCTTACTTTTTTCTTTTTTTTTTTTTGTCTGATGTATTTCTAGTTGCTCCAGAGGACTGTCAGGTGTAAAATGTCTGATGTCCAATAAGAGTTTAGATCATACACACACAATCTTCTGCACAGACTGATCTGTCCAATCACGTGTCTCCACAGATCTCCTGAATCGTCCAATCATCTCTGTGTCTGTGTTTGACGGGGCGTCCGAGCTCCAGTCTCAGGGGGTGCGGGTGCAGCTGGGCTCAAAGTTCAGGGTCAAATGCTCCGTGGAGCCACAGTACTCGGGAGGCTCCTTCCAGCTCCTCTCTCCCACTGTGCCCCCCGCTCAGAACCGCACCCTGCCCGCCGTCAATCACTCTGCACACTTCCTGTTCTCTGACGCTGACCACGCCCACAAAGGAAACTACACCTGTGTTTACCTCCTGCAGGTGTTCAACCACAGCTTCTCCTCTCAGAGCCACAAACTCCAGCTCTCTGTGGGAGGTACGGCCAGATACACACTCATGTACCTTGGTCTTGGTCCTGGTCCTGGTCCTGGTCATGGCCCTGGTTCTGGTCCTGGTTCTCGTCCTGGTCCTGGTCTGATCTGGGTTTTTTTGTGTTGCAGAGTCAGACTCAGACCTGATCATCAGAGTCGTGGTGATTCTTCTGTTGAAGCTCCTGTACATCCTCCCAATGTCCTACTGCTACTGCAAGGTACTGACCTTTAGACCTGGGTTAGACCTGGTTTGGGTCTGGTTTAGTCCTTGTTTAGAGCTGGTATAGTCTTGGTTTAGTCCTGTTTTAAGTGTTTTTGTTCTGTGTGCTGTTTTTTCAGGTCAGGGCCAGAGGCGGCGCTAAAGAGAGGCCCGAGCCGTGAGTGAGACCGGTTCAGATCTGAGTTGATCCTGTTTCAGAAACAAGTGATAAATCAGCCAATTATTAGCACCATTAATATCATTAATGTCATTAGTATCATAAGCACTGTAGGAGCTATGTGCTTGTTTTGTTTATTCTAAAATTAGTTTATTATTTTTGTGTGTGAATTAGTTTACTCATTTAGTTTTGTATAATATATTTTTGCTATGGTAATATTATGTTTCCTAATTTGTTTAATTGTTGTTGTTTTGGTTTAATCTACTAGTCCGGTTCCTTATATACTTTTGTGGGAATTTTTGGGGGATTTGCTAACCTATATATTTTTGGAAAGGTTATAGTATATGGAGTCAGAAAAGGAATGTTTACATTTGCCCACATGTTTATATGGTGGCCATATTGAATAAAAAAAAAAATGGCTGCCATCTCATTTTGGAATATCTCAGCCTCTGAATCTGTTGAAATGTTAATTTTAACCCCTAAATCCACATTTTCAGGGTCAGGGAATCAAATGGTGCTAGTTACAAAGCTGTAAGACCTACCCACATTAACCCTTAGATGAATAAGTGGGTCAAAAATGGCCCGGTTTGGTTGGAATAATACCAACCTGTCTGTTTTCTTGTATGTATCTTTGTATTTCTGTCATACATTTAATGAAAAAAAAACCAAACAATAAATTTACCAGGTTTGTCTCGTTTTTCACCCTGATCATGTCCAGATACTGTGGCTCTGCAGTTGCTATAGTAACCGTACTTTGGGCAGGACTCTTGTTTGATTAGTTTCAGACTAATATTGTGATTTAAAATGTCCAAATTATAACATAAAGATCCATAGGGGTCAGAGGTCAGAACTGTAGACACACACAGAAGCACTACAGGTCTGACTGAACCCAAACACAAACCTTCACCGAAACCAGAAACTTAAAGGTGCACTGCGTAACTTTTCTTTGAGAGGGTACACCGTATGCTAGTCTCCATGTAACTGTTCAGCCTGGAATGTTTCACAGTGCGGCATTAAACTTATCTGTGTTTAATGCAAGATGAGACAAGCGGGCCAAGGTACAGATGAGTTCTATGGAGAGACGAGCCCGTTCACCCAGGAGGGCATGTTCTTAAAGGATCTCTAAAGCCCTATTCGCACGGGATTAGTATAAACTGTGGACCTTTGGTGAATTGTAATAATTGCGGAGGATTCCTGAGATCTTAATTCAGTGAGAATGCGCCATGTCTGTAATTTGTAAAGTAAAAATTACGTTGCAAATGACCAGTGATAACACTAGTCCCTTGCGAATCTGTATCTCAGTGTTTGTTGTGGTAATTGTGCCTTTTCTATCTCTTTCCGGCTTGAATATGGAGGCTGCGGTAGAAATTTTGATTAGCAGTTTTGACAGCTTTTTAGGGGCACATTCTAATACAGCCCGGTATCGCACTATATGTAAACCGATCTGCAGGAACGGGAAGAGGTCCAAGGAGAGAGCCGGTTCTTGCAGGATGACGGCCTGGATGACATGTGTCGCAGCGAGCGGTAAGGGACGACCTAGAGTTTTGTTTCATACCTGACAGTTTGGACTGCTCACTAGCGGCCTTCCTCAGAGTGGTCACGTAATGTTGCTGTGATGTGTCTGGTCAGCAAAACAGGTTTTGGCGCTGTACAGAAAGAACAAAAATGTGGCTGTTTGCTGCAGGTGTTCCAATCAATAGGAGCAAGTAGAGGGTGCTCTTGGAAAAAGGATCAAAACTCAAACACAACGGATTCCAGGCACTCCAAACAAGTAACAACAAGACTCTAGGTCTGAAAAAAAGAATCTAATAACATAAAATATCGGAAAACCAAATGAATCTCATTGGACTAAGCAGTAAGGAACATTTGAAATAATATAACCAGTGTTGGGAAGGTGACTTTTAAAATGTATTCCCCTACAGATTACAGATTACAAACCCCAAAATGTAGTTTGTAACGTAATCCATGATATTACTTAAAGTGAGTAATGTAATCTGATTACTTTGGATTACTTGGTTTGCTGTAGAGAAGCAAAGACGAGGAAATTGTAACATAAGAAGTTTTGTCTGCTAAAAGAAAATAAAAAGCCCAAACTTTACTGAACCAGATTAAAAATATTATTGATAGAAAACGAGGAGACATGTCCACACAGCAGGATTTAGTCCTGTTAAATCCTGTTAGATCCTGGTTTAGACCTGGTTTACACCAGGTTTAGATCTAGTTTAGACCTGGTTTTAGTCCTGGTTTAGACCTGGTTTAGATCTAGTTTAGACCTGGTTTTAGTCCTGGTTTAGACCTGGTTTAGATCTAGTTTAGTCCTGGTTTAGACCTGGTTTAGATCTAGTTTAGACCTGGTTTAGACCTGGTTTAGATCTAGTTTAGTCCTGGTTTAGACCTGGTTAAGATCTAATTTAGACCTGGTTTTAGTCCTAGTTTAGTCCTGGTTAAGATCTAGTTTAGACCTGGTTTTAGTCCTGATTTAGTCCTGGTTTCATCCTGGTTTAGTCCTGGGTTAGACCTGGTTTAGATCTAGTTTAGACCTGGATTTAGTTCTGGTTTAGACCTGGTTTTAGTCCTGATTTAGTCCTGGTTTCATCCTGGTTTAGTCCTGGGTTAGACCTGGTTTAGATCTAGTTTAGACCTGGATTAGTTTCCAGCAATGAGTGGAATTACCACACACACACACACACACACACACAAAAAGAGGATATAGCCCACAATGTGAAAACAGGAAAATACAGCCATGTAATCCATTTATTTCAGCAAAGTAACTGTAATCCAATTACCACTCACTGAAACAGTAACTGTAACTGAATACAGTTACTCATAATTTGTACTCTGAATATGTAACTCCGGTACATGTAATCTGTTACTCCCCAACACTGAATATAACTAGCTAATATCTAGTTAGGCTGTATCCTCCATATCGGGGGGGCTAGATCGACACTGAGAACCGGGGGAGGGGAGCGATCCGCGCAACTTGGCCACTAGATCGACAGTGGTTTAGTCCTGGTTAAGTCCTGGTTTAGTCTCGATTCAGTTCTGTACCAGTCCTGGTCCAGTCGCCTTTATACTAACTGCCCTTACAACACATCCGGTCGTAATATCAGTAAAACAGAGTAATTTACGGACTTCGCTTATCCCGTGCGTATGCGATGTAAGTAACAAAGACGTGGGGCGGTAATTTACACATTACCACACGTCCCCAGGTTGTACTTATCCCGTCAAATAGGGCTTAAGTAATCTCTGAACAATAAAATCACCTCTAATGAAACAAAAGCTGAATAGACATTTAAAGCAAAACAATAAGTATCTCCCTAAAAAAAAGAAAAAGAAAAGTTACCCAATAGATCTTTACCCCATTTTAACCCATATCTGAACTTTAAACCACACTGTAAATTCATAAAGGTTGTTGTCATGTGGGCTTAATGTTTGTGTGTGTGTGTGTGTGTGTGTGTGTGTGTGTGTGTGTGTGTGTGTGTGTGTGTGTGTGTGTGTGTGTGTGTGTGTGTGTGTGTGTATGTGTGTGTGTGTGTGTGTGTGTGTGAGCCCGTGTGTCCACAGCAGCTCTGATTATCCATCACTGGTTAATATGGGGAAAGCCTATTCAATATGTTCTGTAGGACAAACAGGACTCACAAAGAATCCATCAAAACATGACAGCAGTAATACTCAACAATATCAGGTCCAAAAGTTAATATGTGTGAAAGCAACAGCTCATTATACGGACAAGTACAGGACACAATGGAAACACGTAAGAGCTAATGGAAAAGTATGGAATGATGAAGGAGGTGCTGCAGTGTTAAAGTGATCAGAAGAACGCTCTCTCTCAGGCCCAGGGCGTCCTCCTTTTTCAATTCAATGATGAAAAAAATAAATAAATAAATAAAATGCTTTTACTCTATCTAAAATGTGCAGAACATGATGACTTGTCCACACCTGAGCTTAGTGCCTGTCCACACCCAAGACTTATACCTGTCCACACCTGAGCCTTGTTCACACCTGAGTCTTGTACCTGTCCACACCTGATCCTTGTACGTGTCCACACCTGAGTCTTGTACCTGTCCACACCTGAGTCTTGTACCTGTCCACACCTGAGTCTTGTACCTGTCCACACCTGATCCTTGTACCTGTCCACACCTGAGTCTTGTACCTGTCCACACCTGATCTTGTACCTGTCCACACCTGATCCTTGTACCTGTCCACACCTGAGTCTTGTACCTGTCCAGACCTGAGTCTTGTACGTGTCCACACCTGAGTCTTGTACGTGTCCACACCTGAGTCTTGTACCTGTCCACACCTGAGTCTTGTACCTGTCCAGACCTGAGTCTTGTACATGTCCACACCTGAGTCTTGTACCTGTCCAGACCTGAGTCTTGTACCTGTCCACACCTGATCCTTGTACCTGTCCACACCTGAGTCTTGTACCTGTCCACACCTGAGTCTTGTACCTGTCCACACCTGAGTCTTGTACCTGTCCACACCTGAGTCTTGTACCTGTCCACACCTGAGTCTTGTACCTGTCCACACCTGAGTCTTGTACCTGTCCACACCTGAGTCTTGTACATGTCCACACCTGAGTCTTGTACCTGTCCACACCTGAGTCTTGTACATGTCCACACCTGAGTCTTGTACCTGTCCACACCTGAGTCTTGTACCTGTCCACACCTGAGTCTTGTACCTGTCCACACCTGAGTCTTGTACCTGTCCACACCTGATCCTTGTACGTGTTCACACCTGAGTCTTGTCCCTGTCCACTCAAGACAGAGGGAGGTGAGGATCGCTGCAAAGTAACAATCATTCATTCACTCCACGCTCAGGTTTTCAGTTACGTTCGTAGTCACAGCTGCCCTGGGACAGATTGACAGAGGGGAGGCTGCCAATTTGCACCATCTGATCCTCCCCCACTCCCCATCACATTTACACTAGGCAATGTGGGTGAAGTGTCTTGGACATAATGGGTGTTTTCCAATTGCCAGGATCCTTCTGAAACACTTGGGACAGATTGACATCATTAGAGCTCCACCACCAAAGTCCTCACGCCCTCCACGCTCAAGGATGCACCGGTGGATCCTTGACCACCTCCGAGTGCTTGATATTGCACACAATACTTTATTGACTTTATTTAAGCAGTAAATATGCTATAATGATGACATTCTACAATTAAACAGAAGTTAATATTTTAGCCACATTGTTGCAGAGCACTCTATTATCAGACTGAATAAATCTCTTAAAGAAGGTTATTGGGAATTGTATTTGTTTCTATAAATTAATAACTCAATAACAGATCATTCGCTCAGCCTTTATTATTCTCATGTTTTAATGCATGTGACACATCAAAACACCTCTCAACACGTTATATTTGTAGAAGCACTGATGTTTATTAAATCCATGAGTTTTATCGCGTTGCTCTGGTCACGTGACACACTACAGTCCCTCCCGAGCCTGTTCCAGGTGCCCTCCAGGAGCTGTGAGTAGGACACTCAGCTCTGCTTTGGAGGAGCTGACCCTGGAGAAGTGCTACAGAAAGGTCTTGGATCATGGCAATTCAGAAACATCCAATGACAAATTTGACACTAGCACCTCATTGTGGCACTTCAGTGTTTCCAGCAGTCTCCCATCCAAGTCCTGACCAGGCCCACTCCTGCTCAGCAAAGAGATGTGACCAGATCAGAC